AGCGTCGGTCGAGGATCAAGGCTCGTGGTTCGAGGGTCGGGGCTCGAGGCTCGATGGTCGAGATTCGAGGTTCCGGGCTCGCTGGCGCTTCTGGATGTGGTCTTTGTTGGGTTTTGACGGCGCAGTTTTCGTGGGGCGTCTGCAGCGGGAGGGCGCGTCATAATTTCCCTGGCGGCCCCATCGGGCCAACCCGAGCCCCCCGAACCCGAGCCCCGACGGCCTTGATGACGCGGAGTTCTTGGATGGGTGTTGGCGCCCACCCAGCGGCGCCTCCGGCGCCGCTCCTGCGCGCCGCGGGTGGGGCTCCAGCGCGTATTCAAAAAATCAGCGCGGCCCCTCGACAGTTTATGTTTATGCAGGTTTTCCGTTTGTTTTCCAATCTGGGAAGGGTCGCTGAGGTAGGCCTGGGCGGCTCGGATCGGACGGGGGGAGTCGAGCCCCTGCTCTCAGGCCACCCAGGAGGGGGTTCCTGGGTTTCGATGCGCGGTGGAAAACGCGACGCTCCCGCACCAGAAATCAATGGGCGCGCTGGGGTCTCAGGGTGGGGTTTCTGTCGGAAGGTTTCTTGTGGTCGGGCATTTGTCTCCGCTCTCCCCTGGAGGCCAAAAAGCCAGCCTTTCGGTTGACGCGGGCGGTTCAACCGTCAGCGCCGGGCGTTGCGCACAGCGATGTTTCACGCAGTCGGACGCGGAGGCGTCGTTCGTGACCGCGTCGGGCTGCCCCGCGCGGTTGGTTGTTGCAGGTCCTGATGAGGATAGCCAGCCGCGCGCCGAAACGCAGGACACGAGCAGGAACAGGGGTGCCCGAGAAAATTGGCATACCCAGTCCTAGACCAGAAGGTGCGCGGCAAGGGCTTCGACGCGGGTGCACAGTCTGTTTTGTAGATTGCAATGATGTGGATATGTGTAGCGAACCCTTGGTCATGTGTCCGAAGTCGCACGGGGGCTCGACTTCTGCGCGGGCGTTCAGCGCCCGCGCGACGTTGTCGTTTTGAGATCAACCTTTCGGGCGGTCGGCCTAGCAGTCAGAAAGGGTGCAAGGGTCGCCTCAAATAGGGTGCTTCGCAGGTGCGTTCTGGTTATGTTGCCGCGTCCGTGTGCGAGTCGGGTAGCTTGGCCCCGTCGGCCCTGAGGCCAGGATGGGCCTTTCGAGCGAGGTTCCCCACGAACGCGTAACAGCAGGGGTCAGGTGGCTTCTTCCCCTCGGCCGCGGTTGGCATCCGCTCAAGGAGATGGGGGGCAATCGGTAGATGGTCACACATGCATCAGCCGGGAGGCCGCGATGTCACGTCAGCGGGGGGGGGGGGGGGGGCAGTTGTTACCTCCTTTCTCTGAAGGCCACAAAGCCAGGCATTCGGTTGACGCAGGCAGTTCAACTGTCTGCGCTCATCGTTCTAAGCCCGCTTGGCATTTTCTGGCTGCTATTTGGGTGCTGCACGCAGTGACATCGTCGTTCGTGACAGCGTCGGTCTGCCCTGTGTGGTTGGTTGTGGCAGGACCTGAAGAGGATCGCCGGCCACACGCCGAAAAGTTGGAGACGAACAGGACCAGGGGTGCCCGAAAAAGTGGGCAGACGCAGTCCTAGACCAAAAGGTGCGCGACAAGAGCTTCAACGAGGAAGTTGATTTGGCAAACTACGCGGGCCTCCTTTTGCCAGTGCGGTATAAGTGTCCCAAGCTAGCCAACAACCGATTTGCGCCAGTGGAACTTGGGTCGCAAGAAGTAGTTGCGCAGCTGCCTCTGGCGAACCCCGTCACTGCCGACGCACCAATGACATGCATGCCGGACTGCTCTAACGATATTTACCAGATAAGTTCGGCATCGCAATTTTGTCGCACGTCGCTACGATGTCGGACCGTGCCACGGACGTGCAGTTGCATGAGTGTTGCGTTGCCTCTTTGGAGCTGTTTGGTGTTTTTTTGCGGCCTGGCTTGTCGCCCTTGAGGAGTTTTCTGGGCACCTTTGCACGGGCTCATTCAAGGTATCGGAGACGCCCAATTTGACGATCGACGCCGCCCCGTGCCTTTGAGAGCCGAATGTTATGGCTTGAATTCGGCCTCGCTGTCGGACCGTGGGTTCCCCCAGCCTTGATGGAAACGGTGATGGGAACACTTGGGGAGGAAGAAGAAAACGTTGAGAGGGAAGGACAAGGAGGAGGAAGAGGAAGAGGAGGAGGCCTCTTGGAAGATTTTGGGGTGTTCCTGGGACCTTTGAAAGAGCGCCTTCTGCCATTACTGGCAAGCCCCCCCCCCGATTCGAACCAGGGGGGCGAGAAAAGAAGGGGCAAGAAACACGGCCTCCCACTCCGAACCGGGGGGCGGGGGGGGGGCGCACCTCCCCCCCCCTCCCCGGTTCGAACCTGGAGGGCGGGGTCCAACCGCACCCCATCCCCGGTCGAACCAGGAGGGGGGGGCGGGACGGCTTTCTCCCATGCTGCCGGAACTCACACCTGAACACAGGGCGGAAAGGGCGAATGGTCCGTGTTATGCCACGAAGCACCGTCCGCTCCGCGGACATCAAGTCCAGACAGGGCCCAAACAAAGCTCGCACGACGCTGAAACAAAGGCAAATAACAGCTTAAACGAAGATCGGCCACGCTCCAACAAAGCTCAAGCAAAGCTCAGTCAAGGCCCAAACGAAGCTCAATCAAAGCTCCAATCAAAGCTCAAACAAAGCGCAAACAATGCTCGCACAAACCTTAAACGAAGTTGGAGCACAGCTGAAACCAATCTCAAGCAAAGCTCACACACCGTTCACACAATTTTCCAACAAAGCTCAACAACGTTCCAAAACTCAAACAAAGTTCACACAAAGCTTAGACAAAGCTAACACAATGCTCAATCAGCGCTCAGCTAAGGCTCAAACGAAGCTTCAACAATCCTCAACATACAGCTCAAACAAAGCTGGAACCAAGCGCGAAAAAAGCTCGGACAGAGTTCAACCAAAGCCCTAACAACACGCAAACAAAATTCAGACACATCTCACACACAGGTCAATTAAAGATCACGCACAGCTCAACCAAAGCTCAAACAAAGCGCTAACACAGCTCAAACATACCTCAAACAAAGCTAAACAAATGCTCAGACATAGCTCACACACAGCTCAAACAAAAGTCAACCAACGCTCACACAACGCTCAAACAAAGCTCAAAGAAGGCTCAACCAAAGCTCACAGAAACCTCACACACAGCTCAAACAAAGCTCAAACTAAACCCAATCAAAGCTCCAACAGAGCTCAATCAACACCCAATCAAAGATCCAACAAAGCTCTACGAAAACCCTACAAAACCCAATCAAAGCTCAAACAAAGCTCAAGGAAAGCTCAAACAGAACTCAAACCCACCCCGTACACGGGTCAGCGGCTTGCTGTTAACACGGTTGTGCTCCACGCCCCGCGGGAAACATCAATTTTCAGGCAAAGTTCCGACAAAGGTCAGACAAGGTTCAAACACAGCTCAAAATCGGCTTGAGTTTAGGGCGACGGAGAGCTTGGCCTCCCTTCCCCATCCGGTTCGAAACCGGGGGTGGGAGTCTGCCCCCCCCTTCCTTCCCCTCCCCCGGTTTCCTGGCAGCGTGGGTGTCCCCCCCCCCTTTGGCTGGGGAGGATGTGTGTGTGGGGTGGGGGAAATTTAGCCGCTCGCCCCTGGCTTCCCGTCAAGCGACCGCAGATCGCACGCCCCCACATATCCTGAGGGCCCCTTGGAGGCCTCGGGGGCGGGCGTTGTGCAATTTCCACTCATCCTGGGCTTGGGTGCTTCTGGCCAGTCCGACGCCGTCGGAAGCTGTCTTAAGGGGGTCTCTTTGGGCCGACGTGGTGCCCCTCTTGGGGCGCTTCGAGGCCGATTTCGGGGTCTCGTGGGCTGTCTTGGGGCCCTCTTGCGCACCTCTTGGGGGCCTCTGGGGTCATCTTGGGGTATTCTTGGGAGCCTGTGGTGCAGTCTTGGAGCGTCGGAAGCCCGAGGCGAGAACGCTGATATGATTGATAAGATGCATAAAATCAATGATGTTGGCCCCTCCTACAGATCCTCTTCCAGCCCTCTTGTCGCGTCAGGCGCACGAAGCTGAGGGGAAGGATGTGAAAAGAAAACAAGAGAGGTTCCAGAGGCCACACCAACAAAGCGACAGAGGTACGCAAGGTACACAGGAGGCCCCAGAGGCGATCAACAAAACAAGACGCTCGACGCTCGCCAGACACGTGAAGCTCCAGAGGCCATCCACAACACAGACGGTAGACGCTCGCCCTCGGCACAAACACGGCGCCAGAAAAATTGCCAGTTTGCGGTCCCAGCGGGGGGGGCGAACCTCGCCGGGATCGAGAGCCCCAAGGGAGGGGAGGGGCCCAGCCCCCGGCCTGCCCCGCTCCCATGGGGAGGCGCCACACCCAAGCCGTGGAAGAGGGGCCCCACTTCCTTCAGTCCTGGTGGATGGCCATTCTTACCAGCCTGGAACATATCCTTATCCCTACGCTGGGCATCTCCTCATCACGATGCCAATCTTCGGGATCCCCTCAGTTTCTGAGGGCGCATCCCTAAGACTGTCATCGCCTTTTGGCGTGTCAATCTCAGGGATAGGGATAAGTTCGAGGCTGGTAGCATTCGTGTAGTTCTGCCCCGCCCACCCGGCGGCACCCACCGCCCCGTCAGCCTCCCACCGAGAGGGGGCCCCTCGCTCACAGCAGTGGAGGCCCCTGCCAGGAGACACCCTGCTCGCCTTCAGGGTGCCCGGGGTTTCTTGGGTCTCGAGGGTCTTGCTGTGGAAGGCGCGACGTTCCTACACCAGAGATCTATGGACGTCCTGGGGTCTCAGGGTTTGGCGTTTCCTGTGGAAGGTTTCTTGTCGACTGGCCTCCACCTGTATGCCTGAGTCATTGACGGGGCTCTTCTATCCACGATCAGGAGTGTGGAAGAGGAGGAGGGAGGAGCAGGAGGTGGGCGCAGGAGGCGGAGGATTGCACGATCATCCCGTCTTCCTCATGCTCCTTCCTCTGACCAGGGTGGGGCAGGCAAAGAAGCGCCCCGTCATGGAAGAAGCGGAGCACATTAAGGAAGACACCACTGCGGCGATCAAGTTGGTGGAGCCGAAGACAGCGTGTTATCCTGTCTGCGAGCCCCTGTTTTGCGAGCCCTTGTCGTCTCTTGGCAGGTATTGCTACGTTTCTTCAACTGTTGTTGGGAGGCATCACTGCGTCATGGCACGAGCAGATGTTGGCAAGAGGCATCTGTGACCCAGGGCCTTGTCTAAGATCCTGTCATCGCTCGGACGCGTGCATTTTTTCTCGGCGAGGGCCATCGAGGTGCATCCTTGATCATTTGGCGAAGAAAAACACGCACGAAGCCGGGGAAAACACAGGGAATGGACGTCCGAGCGATGGCCAGAAGATGCTTCGAGGCCCACGGCGGGGAGCGCCCATCATGATTCAGTCTAGTTTTTCGGGCTACGATGTCGGGCTTGTGGCCTTGGCTGTATGGTTCCGGTTCTTGCTTGGATCAAGCACTGTGAGCTTGGTCATTCTTATTTTTCTTGCCTGCCTCTTGGATGCCTCCTGCCTCGCCCTCTCTGAGGGCTGCTATCTGCGGAACTCTCTGGCTCTTGTCTTGAGATCCTGCGGTGTTTGGCAGGGCGACATCTTATTCAGATCCAGACAAGGTCTCGCCTTCCCATGAGGGCTCCCAGCTACAATGATGTTGCCATTTCCAAGAACCCTTGAGAGGCTCATTTGGCAGCAGTCTTCACTCGCATGTTGAATTCACTTCGTCCTCCCAGGGGGCTGCCAAACGCGCAACCGTCGCCAATTCTGCTCCCGGAAGGTGCATCGCGGCCCTACGCAGACCCAAACAAGACTTCTCCCTCCCATGGGGAGGAGGAGGGAGGGAGGGGGGAGGAAGGAGAGGGAGGGAGGAGGAGAGAAAGGGAGGGAGGAGGGGGAGGAGAGGGAGGGAGGAGGCAAGGTCTGTGAAGTTGTCGCCATGTTCGCTGGCTCGGGGGAGCTCCGAAGGAGCGCAGTCCTGCACGCAGGTCCAACATTTGTGCCACGCCCTCCCTCGGGGCTCTGCGCAGGTGCCACCTGCCTTCGTTCAGGCGATCGCAAACATGGATTAAGGGGGCGTGGATTAGCGACGGGTCCCGTTTCCACGGGAAATCGCGGATTTCCACCGCCGGACGAGGCGGCACTCGCCGCATTTTGGGGAGGGCACTTCCTCCGATCGCGCCACATCCATGGATCGCTAGTCCATGTTTGCGTGCCCCCGACGGCTGCCTATGCGCACTTTGCCACTTACGCGTGAGGCCCTACAGTCGACCCGCATGGTAAGGATGGGCAAATTTCCCAAGGGTACCCTTTGCATCCTTGCCTCCTCGGTCCATCCTTGGCCACTTTCGTTGGCCGCGCCCCGCTCGAAGAGCTTCGAGATGGGCGTCCAAGGCCCCTTCATCCTTATCGCGCATATTCATGATACGTGTCGACTGCAGGTGCTGCCATCCGCGCACTCTGGCACGTTTTTGCCGCGTGAGGTCCTGGGAGAACCAGCACGCTGCTGTGTTGCACAGGTCCCAGCTCGCCCCCCCTAGGCTGCCAACTGCGCCGGTGTCAAAAACTGTGTCGTCTCCTCGAAAGTCTAGCGGGAGGGGCAGAGCGTCAGAAATGGCTCGAACGCAAGCTCCCCCTCTCTGCCGTCGCCCCCCCTCGAGGATAAGGCAGGCGACGGAGCGGACCACGAGCGCGACGGCCCGCGCCAAGGACCGGACGTGGGGCGAACGGGCCCTGAAGCCCTTTTGCTGCTGCACGGGGAGGCGGGGGGATCCGGGCCTCCCGGATGGGTTCCGAGTACATTGGAAGCACATGCCGAGAAGCACCTTGCTTGCCTCCAGGGTGCCCTGGGTTCTTGGTTTTCGATTGTTTCGATATGGAAAGCGTGACGTTCCCACACCAAAAGTCAATGGACGGCCTGGGGTCTCAGGGTTGGGTTTCTTGTGGAAGGTTTCTTGTGGTAGGGCCCCCAGTGCAGGTGGGGTCGGGGATCGCGCCGCATCGCCGATGCATCGGCGATGCGGTTCGATGTGGAGCCCGATCCTCTCGACGCCGACGGCTCCGACGCGCCGCCGGCGTCGCCGTGGCGACGAGGCCTCGGGGCAGGGCCCACTTCGACTCCTCCCATTCCGTACGATGTCGATGGAATGCGTTTCGATTCGAGGTCGGCCTCCGATCTGAACTGCAGTTTCTCAATGGCGGCCCTGCTAGCCCGCCGACTCCCGCCGACTCTCGACGCCGACGGGTCCGATGCATCGCCGACATCGCTGACGCCGATGCGGCGCCTACAGGCCCCCACCGCGCGTCGTGCAAAAATCGTGGCGTGAGGTTCTGCCCTTCGGGGCCCCACACCGGGTTCCGAGACTGTGACACAGGCAACTCAGGATGAGAAGGTAGTCCCTGGGAATGAGTCGAGATCTCTTGGGGGCGACGCTGTGAACGAGTCATGACGGCTGCGGGGAAGACGGGCAAGAGGGGTGCGGTCGCGCCACAGCTGGCGTACTACCCCTCCCCCCCACCATTCGGAAGCCGGGCAAGGGCTTCTAAATCCGGGGCTGCTAAAATCGACCTCCGGAAAGTTGTCTTCGTCCTTCCGGGAAGAAGCCCGTTGATTGTTTCCCGTGCCGCGCCTCATTCCAGGAAGTTGTTTTTTCCTTCGGGAGGGCCGTTTTAGCAGCCACGGTTTTAGCAGCCCTCGCCCACCTGCCCAACCCTGGTCCTGTCGGTTGTGCCCATCCTCCTCTTATTCACCAATCCAGGCGTCGTGTGTGTGAGAGGGCTTGGCCTCTGAATAGTGCTTGCAGCGCGAGGGGGGCAGGGGCCAGTCGAAAGGATGGACGAGGGGGACGATGAGGACTCGTCGTCGGAGGAGAAGGAGAAGGAGAAGGAGAAGGAGGAGGAGGCCAAAGAGGAAGTCCACAGGCAAGGCGATGACAGAAGGACCGCTGCGGGTTTGGAAGGGGCCCGCTGCTCCTTAGGCCATATGTGGTTGTTCCTTGAGCCCTCCTCGCGCACCCGGGCGCTTCGGGTGCCCTGGAAAGGGCCTCGTTTTTTGTTCCGCGTTCCTTGTTGCAGCAACTTGCCTGCAGGGGAAGGGCAAGGATCAAGGCGACGACGAGGACACGACGACGGCGACGGCGACGACGACGACGACGACGACGACGAGCGCCGCGGGGCCATCGTCAGGTCTTGGGGGGTGGCCGGGCGCGCGCGCCTTCGGAAGCCCCGTGGAAGCTGGGGCTGCGGCGGGAGAGGCAGCGCCTGCATCCGGGCGGGGCCACGGCGGGCGAGGCGTCCCAGAGCGTTCCGGGATTGCGCTTTCGGGGCGCTCGCGGGCACGCCTGTGAGGAGGCCGCGGCTCCGCGGAGAGGACAGGGGGCCCATGCCAGTGCCCTTCGCCGTCCGCTTTCCCCGCTTTGGGCCTCCTGGGGGGGCCCCCGTCGCCATCTCTGGGCTCGCCTCGAGATTCTGGTCAGGACGCAATCCCGGGAGAAGGGAGCAGCGGGCTCGGTATTTTTTGGGTATCCGCATACGTCCGCTTCAGATCTGAGCGTTCCAGAGCGCTTTCAGGGCGCTCAGGAACGCTCTGAGAAGGCCTCTGCGCCCGAGACATCCTCCAGAGCCACCGCATCTCAGAGATCCTCGATGTATCTTCGCCCGATGGTATCCTCGTCCTGGCTTGTCGTCTTGTGCATCAGAGGGCACCAGGAGAGAGGGGAGTTGTTTTTTTCACCCGAAAGGCCTTCTGCTATTTGCGCAGGCCTGAGTGCACCCACCGGGTGGCGCTAGTGCCCTTCAGCTTCCCGAAGGGCATCCTGGCACTTGCCGCATACGCTCGCCCACGTGGGCGTGAAGCAGGAAAAGAGCGCAACGTTGCGACGCTGCTGCGTCGGCGCGCGGCCTGCAGCTGGATGCCAATAAATGCCGCGCAAAACTAAATGCAAATCGCTAGCGGGTTTGCCTGTTCAGCCGAAACAAGCAAGACGGAGAAGCAGGCGGGTTCGGAGCAACCCCGGCACCGCCGACAGAGCGAAGGAAGAAGTAGTCAATACCTCCTCCAATACACATAGGCAGGAGGAACGCCGCACCACGTCGGCGGTCCCGAGGCCTTCAGCCTCTGGAGCTGGAGGCTGGCACTTGTGAGGAGGAGGGCCCGGTTCTGGGCCCCACGGACGAGATGCCCTCAGCCTCTGGAGCCGAGGACGCCCGTGCCCTTGCCCTTGCCGAGGATGTACGAGTCGCACTCTTCGTAGGCGTCGTGGGTCTTACTCTTGCCCACGCCCTTGATTCTCAACACGGCTTGGTTAGTCTTGGTCTCTGTCGGGGCCTGTGCCGTCGTGTGGCGCACCATGTTGACGGACCAGTCATACTCGGTAGACTCGTGCATGCAGGAATAGTCCGCCGTGCACGCAGAGACCGCGACTTGGGCCTTGTCGACCTGTACCTCATTCGTGAACTTCGAGGGTGGCTCGAACTCCGTCTTCGGGCCATTCTCCATCAGCTCCTCCACCTGCTCGGCTTTGGAGCCGTTCTTGGTGGCCCCCTTTCGGAACCAAGTGCTGTCCAGGATCACTACGTCCTCGTCGATGAACTCGAACTGGCGCATCTTGACCTTGTTATCGACATGGTCGTTGATGCCGACGATGGCGGTGGCCTGCGTGCCGCGGGCGCGACGCCGCCGGCCCCTCTGCTAACGCTTGGCATCCTTCCTGCACTGGGGCAGCGCCTCCGCGCCCTTCCCGAAGGGGCCATGCTCCACGACGTTCCGGAGCGCCGTCGCCCCGCCGTCGATCTCGATCGGCCCGTCACTGAACGCCGCCTCGATCTTCGCTCGCAGGGCGGGCTTGATGAGCTCGACCCGCGCCTAGATCTCGCGATCCACCTCCTTGTCCGCGACCTGCAGGTTGCCGCCGCCAGCCTGGGCCGCTCGCCAGAGGGCCACCGCTGTGGCCGCCACCACCTGGCGAGAGCCGCCAGCGCGCACAACAGCACCGAGGAGAGCCTCCGCCATCGCGTCGGCCATGACCGTAGCCAGCTCGAACCAGGGGCTGGGCGAGCAGGCTGCTTGAGCCACAATGGCTACGGAGCAGGGGAGAGGAGAGAGCGGTACAGTCAAGCACCTGAATCAAGGACTGCCTTGGGGTCTGCTCCCAGGCTCTTCGAGTGCAGACGAGGGGCTTCGTTCCTTACTTGAGCGACGCAAGAAAAGCACGGTCATCTGCGCCGACATTGGCGCGTAAGTTGCCCGCGTGAGCTCGTGCGTCAGCGCCCTCGCCCCCAGCACCGCGCGCCGCGACGGTGGCTCGCGTAAGCCACCGCTTAAGGTCGCTGCGTCATCTCGCGAACGATCCATGTTTGCCAGGAGGGAGCAACACACAGGCACAAATCATCGTCGATTCCCAAGAAAATATAGCTAAAACATGGGAAGTGGGGGAGATGACGAAAACTCAGAAAAGATAGACATATGGGGAATCCTGGGATCTCTGTGTATGTATTGGTGTGTCTCTGGGCCCCTTAAAAAAAAACGTCGCTCATGTAGCTTTCCTCAGGGGCAACGACAGGGGAGGGGACAGGCATAGGGGGGGATCCGCCGACCCCCAATCGACTATTGATCGCCGACAGGGGCCCGATAGCCCCAACCTGCCCAGGAAGGTTCGGAGTCACGATCGGAGGCCTATCGCCGACCTATCGGCGACGTATCGCCGATTCCAGGGCGAGGCATCCCTCCCATATGCCAGTCCCCCTCCCCTATCGTTGCCCCTCACTGCCCCCTTGCAGCAGCAGCTGATTGACTGTACCCGTGGCGAGCGGAGGTCGATCTCGAGGCGGGGCGGCGGGCGAGCGCCGCGAGGCCAGAGCGCGCCTTTTGGGGGGGGGGGCGACCGAGGGCGAGCGGCCGCAGTCGGCACGATCAGAACTGCCGTCACTTCGGGAGCCTTGAGACGGGGGTCAACGCAGAGGGGGGGTGGGGGAGGGGGGAAGGCTTCTTAGAAGCACCCCTGCTTCTTCAGAAGAAGGCCTAATCTGTAGATGTGAAGAAGGCGCCTTCCAAGAAGCAGCCTCCTTCTGAGAAGCCGTCCCCCCTGCCTCCACCCCCCTGAGCGCACCGCCAAGGGGGTCAGTGCGAACGGGGGGTCAGCCAGAGTGCCCGATCTTGCAGGATCCTTCGCATTGACATCTTGCAGGATCCTGCAGGGCTTGACTGACCTGGGTCTGGATTGACCCGGGTCAGAAGATCCCCGAGTCACCCAAGCATACAATGGGGGCCCATGCCAAGACACACCTTGCTTGCCCCCAGGGTGCCCTTGGTTTCTTGGGTGTCGATGCTTTTGCGATGGACAGCACGACGTTCCCACTCCAAAAATCAATGGAAATTTTGGGGATTCGGGGTTGGGTTTCTTGTGGAAGGTTTCTTGTGGTCGAGCCCCCAATGTAACAATACCGTGTGTGCGTCGCCCCCCCAAAGGGAGGCGCGCGCCGAGAATTCTTATACCGCCGGACCGAGGTATAGGATCGAGGTCGGTTCGGGGAGGGTACACCCTAGTGTTCTTCGTGGTTGCTGGATGCTCTCGTGCATCCTGGGGAGGGTATCCTTGGATCTCTTGTTCCTTACCTAGGCTCTGCCTAGAAGGGTTCCTACTCTCTGGGCTTAAAGGGGCCGGGCAGTGGAAAGCGCCCCGGGCGGTTCCCCCCAGTATCCGCCCCGCGCTTCCCCCAGTTACGTCCCCTTAGCTTAGCATCGCTTATCTCATCTTAGCTTAGCTTATTCCATCTTAGCTTGGCTTAGCTTCATCTTGGCTCAGGTTTGTTTATTGTCCTCGTCCACTCCTCCCCCTCATCATCATCACAGACTCCCTTATCATCCGCGCAACCAAAACAGTAATACATCCGTACAATCAAGAGCACTCAGAAACTAACACAATCAAAGAGACAGAAGAGAGAGAGGAGGATAAGGAGCAGGAGCAGGAGGAGGACGTGCAGGAGGTGGAGGAGGAGGACGAGGGAGGAGGAGGAGTGGTCCTTCGCGCGAAACTGTTTTTGTTGTTTTGAACTCTCGTCGGTTGTATTCCCTACCTAGGCTCTGCCTAGAAGCGTTCTTAACGTCTTGGCTTAAAGGGGCCGGGCAGTGTAAACCGCCCTGGGCGGTTCCCCCGGTCCCTTGGGAGCCAAGCAAAAGCAATAGCAAAGGGAAAAACAAACGCGCTGTTCCCCCAGTTGCGCTCCTTGGGTGCCAAACAAAAGCAAAGGCAAGCATTAATGTAAAAGCGAAGGCAAGGCAAAAGCATAACATAGCATAGCATAGCATACCATAGCGCAGAATAGCATAGCGCAGCATAACATAGCATAGCCGAGCCGAGCCCAGCATAGCATTGCGCAGCATAGCATAGCATAGCATGGCATAGCAGAGCAGAGCAGAGCATAGCATAGCATAGCATAGCGCAGCACAACATCCACAGCACAGCAAAAGCAAACACA